TTCTAAATCGGTACCGAATATCGATCAATACCTAAAAGTATTGACTCAGCACATCACTAGAAACAGGAAACATGTAAACACAAAACAGCTGACATGCACTCTGACGCTTTATCCATTTTTACCCGGAGAAAAAGTCCGGGCTGTTTTGGGCAGGAAGAAGAAGACACTTACGATCCAATACGTTCCAAATTTCGCTCTCTATTACCCATTTTGTTGAGTACGGGAATGATTTCTGGGCTATTTTGGGCACGAGCGGGATCCCGCGTTGCGTACGGGAAAGACCCTATTTAGATTCTTAATGCAAAAATAGACTTGCATTGCATTTAGGAGACGAATTTTGTATGGATAAATGTACATTTAGAGTAGCATTTAGAGCTAAATGCGCTAAATGTGCTTTTACGCGTAAGCAAAACCAGCACATTAAGTGCCATTTAAATATTCATTTGAAATCGGCCATAAAAATCCAACTCTACTACGAAAATAATATACAGGTATAAGATAAAACGTAAATATGCGACCTTTTGTAAAATGATATTGGAACAAGTCTAGAATACCAACCATTTAGCTATAAGAAAACGAAAAATGTGGATCGATAGAACTTTTTACTCTGATTTCAACCATACCAATATTATTTGGCGCGAACAGAGCAAATAAAAGAGTATAAGGTTAAACTTTTCTATTTTGTTATATTTTTAATATCTCGGAAACTACTCAACCGATTTGAAAAGTGTTGATATCAATTTAAACGACGTAAATACTATAATTTAATACGACATACATACTATAACCATTTTTGAAACAAATTTTAGATAATCGTCATTTAAAAAAATCTACGCATATACATTTGCGACTTTACCACTATTATTAAATACCTATTAGGGAAATTCATCTAAACACGTACATGCCTCGTAACCATGTAAAGCTCGTAAGCTTCCTTAATTTTGTATGGAAAATCGTTTATTTAGGAGATCTACGCGGTTACGATGACCTTAGGCGTTCAATGGATAACCATATTATATTATATATTATTAAATAGCATTAAAAAAAA